CGAAAACTCTCTAAACTAAACTAAAAATTTGTTTAGTCCTGTCAAACAACGTTTCCTATTCTGAAAACATGATATTTGACAGGACAATTTTTTTTTGTGATTTTTACTTTAGTTTAGAGAGGTTTTGAACAATAGAATTAGCACCACTGTCGAACTCTTAATTCATAGCAACTGGTTTCTAATGGTTTCTATAAAAACTTTAACTGTCGATTTAACTGTTCATAAAAACAACTGGTCGGATTTTGGCTTGCATTTATTCAGTTTTAATTATTTTGGTTTATTTCATTCTCTAGCATAACTTGAACTGTCAAGGTCACTATTTTCAAATATAAAAAATGTTATTTGTTGTTTGAGGATAATGACCGCAATTAACTTCGCTTTGTTTCTTTTTAATATAGAAGACAATCTATTAAATTATTTTAATCAATTATTTCTAACTTTTGTCTTTATTGTATGTTAATTTGTAATACCTATTCTGCACAAATTGGTAAAGTTTACGAGGTTATGTGATGGTTTATAGCGACTGGAGAATACTCAAAATAACACAGTAAGTGAAATAAATGTCTGAGGAAATATAAATGCTCGAGTCAACATGCTCTGTGCAGTTTTAAAATTATTTTATTTTCATTAATTAGATGTGTTATTTAAAATATTATTCAGCTCACTTTTTTGTTCGATTCTTTGGTCTCAGTCTATAATATTGTTGGTTGGAATAATCAGTCATATTTGCTGAATTATTTTTTTATGGAATAGGGGGCAAACGAGCAGACGGCTCACCTGATGGAAAGCGACTTCCGCCGCCCAGAAACGCCTCAAACTCAGGAGTCACCAGCGCGTTGCCAGCCTTTGAGGAAGGAGTACGCTCTTTTCTTGGAGGTTTAAAGGTCGTATCGGTCCGGAAATACCGCAGCCGATAACTTGTTCCACAGGTTGGTAGTGCGAGGCAAAAAGTGTCTTGAAAAGCGCAAAGTGGTGAAGCGCCAATTATCCAAGGGGTGGGGATGAAAATTTTGCCGTGTGCAACTACGGCGGAAGGTTGCGGCGGGTATTAGTCCGAACAATTCCTCGAAGCTACATCTCTACGTGAGAGTAACTTTGAGGATAACTTTCATTCTAGATGAGTAACTTTGAGAAAAAATATGGGCTATGTAATTAAACAACAAATACAACTAGGTGTGGAGATGACTCGTGCGAAGTCGCGAAGGGTGGCTAGTAGTGACAGATTAATTAGTCTTAACACTCATATTTAATTGTGAATTCACAATTAGCAGTTCGCAAAATTAATTGTAGTCGTGCAATTTCGTGAACGTATGAATTAATACGTACACGAAATTTCGTCGCTTCATTCGTTAACGCTTCACATTCTCATAGCGCGTGCTTTCTCATTCGCATAAATACCTATGTCGCTCGGAACAGTGACCAAGCGCGGCGCGATTGATGCTGCTTCTGAGAGTGCAAAGGATTTTAATGTCTATTTTAAAAGAAATACATTTATTTAAGATTGTTTATTGCACAAATATATTTTTAATATCATTCATTGAATTTTTAATAATCGAATATTTTATTTACATAGCATTCGCTAGTAATAGCAAGGGGCCGGGAAATTAGGTATTGTTTTGAATGACTTTGTATTCTCGTAGTGTTTTGTTAAATTGTTTAAAGTTGTTCATAGAATTGGTACCTAATAGGTATAGTATTTATTAATAAAAAGTTTAATTATAGAGTAGGTATAGGTAGGTAATTTAAGTTTGGAAATAATATCCCTATCTATTCATAAAATACCTTCATATTTATAACGCACATGTCACAACACGTGCGTTGTAAATATGTAGGGATTTTTTTGTAAATAGATAGTGTTAAGTGACGAATTGACGATTAATGCTAATTAGATTTAATTAATTAATTTAAATAAAATTAGCATTAATGTCCATTACTAGTGTATTAGTACTAAAAAAGTGATAACAGTATATTCATTTTATTAAACCGCTTGATTGAACGTCACCCAATTATATCAAATAATTATCGGTACATTTTGATAAACGTAACTAAATTAAACAATGTTGATAAATGCTTAACTATAAAAGTTTTGTGGCGTTTAATACCCGTCTATCTACCCCTTCGTAGTTAGAAATAAAAGACGTGAGGGTGTACAATACGATATAAGTATTGTTTTACGTAAAAAAAATATAATTTTCTCTCTATTTTAGGTATTTCTGAAGGTGTTTTCATTTTTATTCAATTCTTAGACCACGTGAGATGTCTTTTGATATTCACCCAGTTGAATGGAACTATTACTTTTTACGGAAACTAACTTACTTTAGTTTTATTTAGAATACGATAGGAGCTTTAAAATAAATGTGAAAAGAAGATTTTACAAGCTTCTATTTGACTTGCAAACAAACAAACACACAAAGAGTATGTGTGTGTGTAAGTTTAATTACCCCACTTCCCGATAGGACATCGGAAAGTGGTCCTAATTAAACTTCCAAGTTCCAAATACACACAGTTCTGATGTTAGAGCCAGCACTCGGCCATAGGAACTTCTTTACTAAATAAAATAAACCCGTCCTGTTTGTGTTCACTTGTTTTATCTTAGTGAGTGTATTCAGGGTCTATAAAAGCTGTTTTTTTCTACAATTCATTTAATGTTCAGGTAATACACCGTGCGTCTTTTATTTAATATCTTTTTTCTCTTTTATATTTTATGTCTTTTATTCTACCTGTAAATTCAGTTTGTCTTGTGGGCTTTCATTTAAAGTTTAGGTTTAGTCTTTCCTCTCCTTTTGAGTTCTCACAATAGTAGACATTTAGAATTATATTTTTAATATACATATATATTTTTATATGTATAAATCCATGTTCTTACTTGCTCTATTCTATTCTTCCCACGATACTCTCTTATACTCCCTAACGCACTTACTCTCACTTATCTACACATCACCCTAAAGTACACTGGAAGACAGTGCTTTGATCATTAAGTTCACACATCCACAATGTGCCACAGCGAAGGAATGCCGCACGGAAAAAAAAGGGTAACTTCTGCTAGTTCTACTCGTATATATGAACAGATAAATCTTGCAGTCAATAAACAAATAAGTGTCATTTACGAATTAAAAAAGGAATTAATGTATTTCTTTGTGAGTCCCATTACCATCATAATCGTATCTATGGATATAAAAAAAATTCATTACTTCATAATCGTAAATCTCATAAATTTCATTACTAATCGTTTTGAAATTTTTACACAACGTTGTTTTCATATACGTGCATATTTTATTCATTCGACTCAGAATTAACGCATATAAACTTTAATGTACATATGTTTGTTTGCATTTTATGATTAGAAATACCGTTCAACTGGTCATCGTGAAATTTTGCATACGTTTTGCTGTTATTCGACAAAGGACATAGGGGCTCTTTGAATGGAACTTGCTTTTAATGGCAAAGCATTGGGTATAAGCTCTATTTTTTTTTATGGAATGGCGCTAAACGAGTAGACGGGTCATCAAAGGGCTTAGTGTAAGTTTATTTCAATTCTTGTTTTCGATGGCGAGTGCGTTCGGCGTTGCAATTAGTAAAGATTTCACTGTGACGACCAAGTAGATGTAAAAAAACTCTCAGTTGGGCCGCTCATTGTAAGTAACTATCTCTGCGCATTGACACCTTCATCAACAGCCTTTAATAGTCCACTGCTGGACATAAGCTTCTCCTTAGAAATGAGGTTTTGGCCTACTAAAACACGCTAGCCAGACGGGTTGGGTACAGGGTTTGTGTCAAGATTTCCTTCTCCCTGCAGTGCTTTTGTTCTGCATAGTTTTCTCCCTTAGTGGGCTCTTACGACACCCACGGGATAAATAGGGGTGGTGAACTCTGTATTCTTAATCCGTCACCACACGGACCATTGACACCTGCACCTCAAGAACTAAAGTTCATTGCCGCCCTTTGACTATTCCCCCCAGAAATACTTGTCGGGGAACTTTGGCTTGATAGTTCTGGTTTACGATAAGCTCCATGTTTTATATATAGTTTCTTGCGGTAAATCTAACTGAGTAGGTGGATACTGTAACTGAAAGTGAGTATACGGGCCAGCTATGCCGGAGTGACAGCACGGCCTTCCTTCCTATTTTTTAGGGTACACCTGGTTCCCCGTCTACTGGTAGGTGAGACGGCGTGCGGTTTTAGTCGGTTCGAGTCCGACATTGCCACCGGTAAGTGGTATCTGAGGGGATTTCCGCAAAGAAAAAAAAGGGATCTTTTAAGGGATTAATCACCAGGATTCACAACAGTGACCACACAAGAGTTATGAGTTGGAAGTTGAAATGTCTTGGAACCCGCAACGAAATTTATCAGAAGAAAATTGGAGGAGTTATGATGAGGGGGGGTTAAGAGAACAAGTGGCAAGGCACGTATGGTACCCAAATGGCAGGCGTCCATGGGACACCTACTTGCAATCATACATACCAGACCCATTTCTTATTGAGAGTTACCTGATTAACATGTATTGTAATAAAACTACCACGAGGGATATGATACGATAAAAAAGAAGTAATATATGTATAAAATATGCAAGGCATTAAAACCTAATAAAAAAATCTTTTGTTGATGTCTCGTAAAAATGTCGCTTAACAATTTAAGAATCGAAATGTCCAACATTGTTTTATTCACTTGATCATTAATAATAGAGATAATTGGAAATGCAGTCTTCATTCAAATAATGCCGAGCAGTACGTTTTAATTTGTTCAATTATGAACGAAAACGCAAAAGTAAAAAAAAAACATAAGTATAAACAGTAAGTAGATACATGTATCATTTATAGATTGCAGTTAATCTATAAGTTAGAATGCACACTATACTTAAACAGTAAGACATAAAATAAACCATCCATCGAATTGTAATTTAAACAAAATTCAGAAAAAAACCACACCAGTTCGTATAGACTATACTAAAAATGCAGGAAGAGTTGTGTATGAATTATATAAAATTTAAAAAAAGAACTTACTTTCTGTATTTGTCTATTGATAATCTTCTGGAAACCCCACGACGCTAAAACTATTGCCAGGATCAAAAATCCCACAGACACTGCGAAGAATATTTTCGTATGTTTGCCCAACATTTTGAACACTTCAGTTTTCACACAACCTTTTTCGTTAACGTGCGATTTTGTTCAACTGTGTAACGTAAGACCGTCTCGCTTAAGATCTCAGCAATAATTGTGTAAGGATTAGTTCTCACAGCTCCTTGTTTTTTTTTATACAATGGCGACCTAAACTAAGTTGTCGCAGATAAAGAAACAGGTTTATTAAATAGGGTAACTTATTCTAGTTATCGCTGATAAAAAAATGAGTACAACGTTATTTTTTTTCATTTGCGTTCATAGAATGACTGCCTCGGTGGCGTAGTGGTAGCGTATGCGACTGCTGTTCTGAGGTCTCGGGTTCGATTTCCGGGTCGGACCAAATGTTTGTATGCTCTGCAAATATTAGTTTCGGAGTTTTGGGAGTTTTCTATGCATATTGTGTATCTATTTACAAAAAAAAAGTATATAAGTATTCTATCGGCCAAGCTAGCTTTCATATCATCATCATAGTTTTCAAGCTCGGATATTTCGAAATGGTGATTTTTCGAATTTGCAGTTTGCATTTTTCATAATTCGCTACGAGCTTGTGTCACTTTAAAATCGTCATACCTTTAAATGGGAGCATTTTTGGCGTCCAAATAATATATCCCCAAAATATCTGATGCGCCCGAATATTTTTTTCGATTTCTTCCTTTTATATTTTTGAAAACATGTAGAAGCTTTTCTCACCGCTGAAATTGGTAACATTTTATAGCTTTTATTCAATCTATTACCACATTTTTCAAATGTAATAGGTCCCAATAATACTCGAGTAAATCCTCATTTAGCATTATGGGCTACTACATACTATTAGTAAGTGTTATCAAAAGTTATCGGTTGTGAATATCGGTGCAAAACAGTATTTTAGCTATTTTTTATACACGCAACTTCACCTGCGTCTCTCTAGTAGTAGTAGTAGTAGTAAATTTGGGTAAATTTGGTAATTTACCCCATTTTTGCAATATTTTAATTGATGGTCGGCTCCTATTTTGTTAATAGCGTAATGTTATATAACCTACTAGCTTTTGCCCGCGGCTCCGCCCTATAGGTTGTTTATCGCGGTAAAAAGTAGCCTTAAAAACTAGTCTTTCCTCAAGAATCAAATTCTCTCCATACCAAATTTCATCGAAATGGGCTCAGCGGTTATTGATTATCCCATACAAACTTCCACAACCCTTTTTACCCCCTTAAAGGATGAATTCTGGGATAAGAACTATCCTATGTCCTTTCCCGAAACTTTTCTCTATACCAAAATTCATTTAAATCAGTTCAGCGATTAAAGCGTGAAGAGGTAACAGTAACAGGTATAATATTAATGTGGATAGCCTATCTCGATAAATTGACTATCCAAAACTAAAACAAGTTTTCAACTCAAACCAGTACAAAAAAAACCGAAAGAAAAAACTGGTTAGCTTTATACCATTATTATATAAATTGACTTCTGGGTTTGATTAAAAAATAAATATTTATTACATTAATTAGTAGTACTTAATTGTATTTAATTGTACTTCAATATTTAGTTACATATATTTATTTGTGAATATCTATTCCCTTAACTACGATTTGGTAGACATGTTAAGCCTTTTGCCGAAAGAGAATCCAGCTAAAACCCTTTGAGGAACTCATGGGACCGACTTCAAATAAAATTAAGAAAAGCGAACGAGGATAATGAAATATGTAAACAGAAAAACAAAAAACTGGACAACGAAAATTGTACATAAAAATACGAAATTAATATTATTTGAAAAGACAGGCTCTCACGGTGGTTTCATTGTATGTTAAATAATGTCTAATTACACGCATAGACAACAAGTATTAGTTTGGTGTTTTTTTTTTTAAATAGGAGTACATTTGTACGTCCGTGAGGTGACTCATTAAGAATACGGAGTATCATCATCCCGTGGGTGTCGTAAGGGCCGAATAAGGGAGCAATCTACGCAGGACAATAGCACTGCGAAGAGAAGGAAACCTTTAAACGAACCCAATACCAACACTTCTGACCTGGTCTGGTATAGTAGGTTAAAACCTCCTATCAAAGAAGAGGCCTATGTCCAGCAGTAGACTACTAAAGGCTGTTGAGGACGACGTAGTGTTTGCCTATTCGATAAGAGGAAAACTGCTTGGAATATAAAAAAGATTTTATTCAAAGTTTCCTAGAAAAACTAAGTGTACTCTTCAAAGTTCTTGAAAGGAGTCAAAGTACAATCGGTTTCATTTCGTTTTTTTGCGGCTTGTGTATTTTTTTTAAAATATTTACTGAATCTAGAACGTCAGCTATGCGATAACATATCTATACAAAGAAATAAAATTGGAGTGTCTGTTTGTAATATTAAAATAACCGCTTTTTACTAAATGCATATGTATGTTTACACGGTACATATGCCAAAATAACATTTTTTAAAATTTTTGTCTGTCTGTCTGTCTGTCTGTTTGTTCCGGGTAATCTCTGGAACGGCTGGACCGATTTCGACGGGACTTTCACTGGCAGATAGCTGATGACATAAGGAGTAACTTAGGCTACTTTTTTATAGACTAGCTTCGCCCCACGGCGTTGCCCGCGGTTATAACAACAAACGCGGGTAACACCGCGGGTCTCAGCTAGTATCTAAATATGTAAAAGAAGAAACTGATAGATTGATTCACGCACTGATCGATCTGCGACTCCAACCGATGGGTCTAGAAGCATGAAATTTTGTACACATGTTCCTTAGGTGACGTAGGTGTGCAGCAAGAAAGGATTTTAAAAAATTTCACCCCAAAGGTTGCAAAATGTGGACTGAAATTTTATATGAAACTTCTTTATTTTTGGATAGTAGCGTATCCTCTACGATTTCGGATGTCACGCGAACCAAGTCGCTGGCAAAAGCTAGTATTCTATATGCACGTATTGTGAATATTTTAATTGTATTATAGCTCTATCTAGACCCAAACAAAGTTTAAATTATTCGATGAGTTCTTGGATAGGAAAAAACAAAAACCGTTTTTTTTTTTCAAAATAAATATACAGATTCCTCTAAATGTAATAATTACAGGGAATTAAATTTCTGACTTTGCAGTCGCTACCCTCTTGACTCAAAGGTCGTCGTTATTGTGGTAAGTAAAACTGATAACTAATTAGTATCTGTCTGCTAATTAAACGATCACAAAAAATATTTCATTGTATTGTGTATACAATAGTGAGATTTTTGTATTTACGTACATACATTTGTAATAAAATAATACTAATATGTTTAAAATCCGATAATGTAACTTCTTTAATAAGCATTTAATTAAAGTTATTATTATTTGCACCAGGAACACAGATACACACAAGGACTTACTTTTGTGTCCACGAATGGAAAAAGAAAAGCCATTTTAAACTTTTACGTTTTTCAACTATAATTTTTATCCCAATTACGAAATAAGTGGCAACCGTTTATCAAGCATTTTAGGAATCATATAGGCAAGTTAGTATACTGAAAGGAAAAGTAGATTGGAAGGGAAAGTGGTGTTAGGAATTTGATATTTCCCATACTGTGTGTCCCATATTGGGCAATATAAGCAGAATCTTCTGAAAGGTAGGACTCCTGTAACTTGATTAGGCTGTTGCTGGGCAAAGAGAGCCCAAATAGGTTAATCTATACTAATATTATAAAGCTGAAGAGTTTGTTTGTTTGTTTGTTTGTTTCAACGCGCTAATCTCAGGAACTACTGGTCCGATTTGAAAAATTGTTGCAGTGTTAGATAGCCCATTTATCGAGGAAGGCTATAGGCTATATATCATCACGCTAAGACCAATAGGAGCGGAGCACCAATGAAGAATGTTTCAAAAACGGAGAAAATTTATTACTATTGAGAGACGCAGACAAAGTTGCGCGGGTCAGCTAGTTATAAATAAATGTGTTTCTGAAAAAATGATGTAAGGTATCATCATCGTCATCAACAGCCTTTCATAGTAAACAGCTGGACATAGGCCTCTTCTAAGAAAGAAGGTTTTCGCCTACTATACCACGCTGGCCTGACGGGTTGGTATAGGATTTGTTTCAAGATTTTCTTCCGCCGTCGCAAATACGTGTGTACATGTTTGCATGAGATGTGCGGAATTGGTCCAAAATTATTGTGTCAAAACGGGGAAAGCTAAGTAAAGTTTTGATACTGATTAAAGATAGAGAGATAGTGATCGATTCAAATGTAAAACATACACGAAATACATTATACATTCGTGAAATTAAGAAAGTCAATTTAAAAAGTAGGACGTATGACGTGTGAATACTCCAATAAAAAAAAAACAATAATAAAACAAAGTAGTATTTGAAGTATCTGTGTAATTTATGGATTCTGTTACGTACATTATCTATGGCGTACTGTGTCGCCATTAAAACAGTTGGTTCCTTGACTCATTGTTCTATTGACAAGCTCCCGAATATATTTACGTAAAACACAACTAACGACGGGAAAAACTGTGTATTATCGTCGCTTCTTACGACATCCACGAGATGAATATTGGGGGTGGTACTCTGTATTCTTATTCCGATATTACGTAAGGTATAGCAGCTGACAATTGTAAAGATAATATTAATTGTTTATCCTAAACCTGTTTTTATTTACACTGTTTTGATTTCGTGTCCCTCTGATAAATCTTATAGTTAAACATTTTTTGGACGTAATTGAAAGTTCAATTACACAAATATATTTCTTTCTTGAAAAGGCTTTTGTCTGTATTAATTGTATTGTCCTTTTGAAAACTAATTAATCCTTACCTAATTAATCATTAGTAAAGACGTACCAATCACTAAAATGTTCGTGTAGTCGTTCAAATTATATTATTTTCTGTATTTTCCTAACAATCGACTGTTTTATTTATTTATTTGTTTAACTCACAGCACACGGCATAAATACCTAGTATAAAATATAAATACTAGGTATTTATGCTAATGTAATATAAATAATGCTATGCTAATATATATAATAGTAATATAATATGTTACATTTAATTGATAGAATTTATATTTTCCTTA